TGTGTTCGGTGTTTACATAGTCATAGCACAAACTATTCTGTGGCTCTTGAAAAATCAGTCAAAATGCTCCAAAAAACTCTGGCAGTATGGGACTCTCTGTTCTGAAAATGGCTGCCAGTCAATGAGTTAAACACGACTCTTTTTTTCCCCAAACGGGCTCGTCTGGAGCCGGTGATGAAAGTAAGGCGCGGAGAGAAATAGATATTTTACTGGGCAGGTATATCTTAAAACAATCAGAGGCTTGATGAATTAGCCGGACGCGTGATGTATCGCTGGAATGGAAGGGGTATTTGGAGAAGGTTTGAGTCAGGGAAATGCACCTCATCAATCAGGATGATTAAAGGTTTTGGCCGGGCTAAAACAAACTCCACTCTGTGGGCCTTAAAGGCACAGTCCACTCCAAAAGAGCCGAGAGGGACACGGGTTTGGAGCCTCGTTTGGATATCCAACTCCGCCCACATCCAAGTCGGCCATTTTGATTAGGTCATGTGACTAGTGGCCTTCTCAGGTGGAAACGAAACTTTACTGTCTATACAAAATATGTGTCTTAATATATGAAATATGAAGACAAACGATATCCTAACCTTAAACCTAACCCTAATCCTAATCCTAACCCTAACCCTAACCCTAACCATAACCCGGACCCTAACCCTAACCCTGACCCTGAACCTAAACCTAATCCTAACCCTAACCCTAACCCTGACCCTAACCCTAACCCTGACCCTGAACCTAAACCTAACCCTAACCCTAACCCTAACCTTGACCCTAACCCTAATCCACATTAATAACCCAAACCCTGACCCTAACCCTAACCCTGATCCTAACCCTGACCCTAACCCTAACCCTAACCCTAAATCTAACCCTGAACCTGACCCTAACCCTAACCCTAACCCTAACCTTGACCCTAACCCTAATCCACATTAATAACCCAAACCCTGACCCTAACCCTAACCCTAACCCTAAACCTAAACCTAACCCTGATCCTAACCCTGACCCTTACCCTAACCCTAACCCTGACCCTAACCCTAACCCTAACCCTTCATAACTGTCAGAAATAAATATTTTTGGGTTAAACTTGTTTGGACTTATTGTACAAACCTATTTAACATCCACTATTTAAACATTATATTATGGATAGAGTTTAATTCAGTGTTTTTTTTAAGATTCATTTCACTATTTTTGAATTAATATCTATATTGCCATGAAGCAATTAGGATTTTCTTGCCTGGGATCTTCCTGTTGGGGACCTAATCAAAATGGCCGACCTGGATGTGGGGGAGTTGGACATCCATCTTTGGACGGACTTGATTAATGTTGGCGTACTATTATTTATTATTATTATTATTATTACTTGTGTCTGTTTTTTATGAGATCTCGGACGGTTTGTGGTGAAATCAGGATTTCCTGAAAGAGCAAATCTAAGGGATAAATAAAGTCTAAATTCTAAAGACAGACGGAGTTGAACTTGATGAACATTTTCGGGAACTTGTTGACATCTGTTGAAGCCACTTAACAAAAGTCCCAGAGCTCCGAAACCAAAAAGCCCAGAATGAATTTCTGCACAATTAAGATGTGTGCGGAGCATATTTATATCAATTTAGAGGCGAGGCCTGTCAGAAACGATCTCGTATCGAGCATCTCAGCCTGTCAGAGCGAAGAATCAAAGCTCTCACTTTGCCAACTTCTCTATTTAAAAGCACGTCAAAACTAATTTCCTGCAGTTCAGCAAAAAATTTTTAAAAAATCAGAAAAAAGCCTTGAATAAAAAGCAGAGAAAAGCTCCAGAGGTCCAGACTTTGTTTAGCACTTTCACTAAATCTGAAAGCTAATATCTATATTTGTTAGAAACTGAACAATATAAAAATATTTATCTTTTTCTATAACATCAATTTATCCACTCCTTTAAATGTTTTTAAATTGTTTTCATATCCCAGTTTTACAGCAGTGTGCTAGCTTCTATTAGCCTATTAGCATGATTAACCCCTCGTTTGCCATTTTTATATAAAATCAAAACACACCTGACTCTGACCAATCAGATCTCTGGAAATAAGAAGCTCCACCTGAGCAGAAAAAGCTCATTTTTGTGTTTGTAATTGTCAGCAGGACATTAAAGGTAAGGCAGGATTTCTGAGGATTTGCTATTAGAAAATGAATTATAACCAAAGACTTTGGTCTCCTTTTGCTCCTGAACTCTTGGTTCAGTTAATCTTGTTCATTTTGTGTTTGCTGGACATTTGAATGCCAGAAATGGACTAGAAAAAACTATTCTAAGAAGATTTATAGTCGAATCTTAAATGACAACAATAGCATTCTCTTAATTAACATCCTTTTGCCTTTTGCATGTCCAACTAAAGAGAGAAAAATGGAAAGATGGAAACAAATACAAATAAAAAAAGAGTGTAGGACAGAGGAACATGTTTTTGTTTCTCTCTGAAAATCCAATTAAAGGATGGAACTTGTAAATATCGATTTAGTCTTTTATAAATGATCAAATAAATGTAAGAATGCAAGTCATATTTTTTTATTTGTTTTAAATTATTGTAGAAAATAGAATGCAGCTTTCTTTGTCTCATCAAATGTTTAGTCTGACAACTGAACAGCAAAATGATTTGTTTGTCAACTATTTTCATAAAAAATCTTCCATTTAATATCATTATAAATAAATAAATAGGTCAATTTTGGTACAGATAATATAATCAGACAGCTTCCAGGTCCTGCATGACTTTATTTCATGACGTTATTTCTGCTTGTTATCAATTTATGTTTCCTGTCTGGGCGTTTGTCGGAGTTTTATTTGACTTTATGAAGCAGACTGCAGCCTTTCAGCCCATTTGCAGCTAAAAATTAATAAATAAGTCAGATGCAATCAGGGGCTGAATGATTGGGGTTACACAGGGAGACGGCATAAATATTTGATCCTCGTCTTATTTTCTCACTATTCAGGAATCACCAGGAAACATTGATTTTCATTCATTGAATAAACAAACACAGAAAGAGCATTAGGAAATTAAAAAACCTTCCCTTAGAGAGTCAGACCCCCCCCCAATAAATTCTTACAAATTTATTGGCATTTATTTATTCTCGTCACAGTCATTATCCCTTATTTTAGAGCGGTATATGTATATATTGTTACATATGTATATATTTATTTATATTTTGTGTGAAATGTTGTGTATATATATATATATATATGCTGTATGATTTAAATATAATTATTTTTATTATAATTATAATGTAAATTAGGTCAACAATAATATAAATTATATATATATACATACATATTGTCACACATATATATATTTATATTATATATAAATTTATATATGTATAGACATATGTATATGCTGTTGTATTTCTGGAGTTAGTAACAAATATTATTTAAATATAATTATTTTTATTATAATTATAATATAAATTAGGTCCAAAATAATATTAATTATATCTATATATATATTTATTTATTTATATTTTGTGTGGAATTTTATATGTATATATG